ACTTCCCTGGGGACCAGTGGCTGTCTGAGGCTGTTGGGAGTTGGGCTATCTCCCAGTCCGCGCTCCTCCTCTCTTCCTCCCTCCCTCTGTGTTAGCTAGGAAGACGCTGACCGGGCCCCTGCAGACTCATTGCTATCGTGCGGCCCGCATGCACCATGGCGGACGGAGGGCTCAAGGGACAGCTCATTTGGACCCCATGGGAATGACTGGACCCGGGGCAGCTGCCCCTTTTGCCCGGCGTTAGAGACAGCCCTGCTCAGTACTGTGTGTTATATAATCTCTGTATTGTAGCTTACTATGATTATTGTATTATACTTAGCTTTGAGTATGGTATGAGTTATTCTGTACTTCATCTCCCTGTATTATATGGGAACAACCATAAGAGGTACATGATATTAAGAAGACAGAGACCACCAGATCAGAAGATGACTGTTACAGAGTCAAATTCCAAAGGTTATGTCTAGCTCCTAATGATCTAAAAACTTTACCAGCTGCCACTATGTATATCCTTGAAGGGTAAAAATAGCTAAATAGTGCTATGGTGAGACTGCAGAGAGGCAAGGCTGGGAAAACTTTTTTTTAAATCCCTGTTTAATGGAAAATGGGGGGAAGGAGGGGGTGGGGGGAGGATCTCATTATATCATAGCCTCTACCATTGCCTCAACATTGAACTGTACTGGTTATGGGGCTTCAAGCGCCAATTGGTTTAATATGCTATGATTTAGCCAAAATTAAATTTTGAATGAAAGAACCAGTAATACATATTATAACATTATTTGAGTGGGAAACCTGGTATGTTTAACCTGGAGGTCCCCTATCTCCTGTGTCTCCCTTTGGGCCCGGTACTCCTGGAACACCAATAGGTCCTGTAAGTCCATCTCTTCCTTGGGGTCCCTGTTTTCCTGGTGGACCCTGTGGGCCTGAAATTTGACAAATGGAACAAAAAAACACTTGTTAGTAGTACATAATTAGGGGCTATCCACAAAAGTTCAGAATCTTTGCATTTTTAACAACATTTTTTGTTTTATCATGGTACACACAATTTTGCATAAACTGAAGGGCAGTAAATCACATCTCTGTGTCTCTTAACTATTTTTTGAATTTCATACACATTTTGTGTTTATCACCTTTTTTGAATGTCTTACCCCCTTTAGTGTATCATATCACTCTTTTGTGTCTTACACCTAGTTTAGTATAGCTTTTCCCCATTTTTCCCTTTTGTATGTCTTACACCACCCTTGTATGTTGCTTACTACCTGCCCCTTGTGTTTCTCTTCCCTCCCCCTTTTCCCCTTTGTGTGTCTCTTACTTCCTTCCAACCCCTATGTGTCTTTCCCCACCACCCAGCACTTTTGTGTCTTTCTCCGCCGCCCCCCACCCCAGCCACTTTGGGTGTCTTGTTTCCCCTTCTTCAGCCCCTATGTGTGTCTCTTTTCCCCTGTTCCAAGCACTGGCAGATCCAGAGGCTTATCTCAGGAGGGGCACTTGTAGATTATTTAATGAAACAATCCAGGCACAATAACCACTACAGCTCTCTGTAGTGGTTATGGTAACAGGAGTGCCGTGGCGCCCTCCCAGAGTAAATAGTCAAACTGTTTAAGAACAGTTTAGTATTGTGTGTGTGTGTGTGTGTGTGTGTATGGGGGTGAAAGGGAACACTGTGTGTAGGAGGGGCAGTGCGTGTTTGTGTGAGGGGTGGTGGGGTGCAGTGGGAGCACTGTGTGTATGGGGCCAGTGTGTGTATGTGAGTGCAGTTGGGAAGTGTTTGGGGGTGCTGTGTGGGGGAGCACTGTGTGTATGGGGGTGCTGTGTGGGGAGCACTGTGTGTATGGGGAGAAGTGTGTGGGGGGAGAAGTGTGGGGTGCAGTGGGAGAAGTGTGGGGTACAGTGTGTATGGGGAGAAGTGTGTATGTGTGTGTGTGTGGGGGGAGAAGTGTGTGTGTATATGGGGGAGGTGTGTGTGTGGGGGCAGTATGTGTGTGGGGAGGGTGTGTGTGGGGGGTACAGTGGGGGCAGTGTGTGTATATGGGGGGGTACAGTGGGGGCAGTGTGTATATAGGGTCTGTGGGGGCAGTTAAAGGAGGGAGCAGATTAAAACAAATGAGTGTTTTTGTTGTTTTTTGGTTTTTTTTTTATTAAAAAATTTCTTTATATCCCCCCTCCCTTCTTACCTTTGCCTGGGATATTATTTCCTATCCCTGGTGGTCTGGTGGAATCCCTGCTGGTTCTAATGGGGAGTGAACTCTAGCCTGCAGCTCCTGAGGCTAGAGTTCACTCTCGCGAGAACGGAGCGTTGCCATAGTAACCGCAATTGCACCATTGCTCCCCCCTGGATCCGCCACTGGTTCCAAGCCCCTTTGTATGTCTCTTTACCTCCAGCTCCTTTTGTGTGTTTCTTTCTCCACAAATCCTCTTTTGTGTGTTTATTTCCCATTCCCTTTATGTATCTCTTTATTTCTTTCCCAGCCCTCCTATGTGTCTTTTCC